ACACAGACACACAGAGAGACATGGCCACGCAGAGGCAGACACACACACACACACACAGAGAGAGACAGAGACACACAGAGAGACACGGCCACGCAGAGGCAGAGACAGCGAGACACACACACACACACACACACAGACACAGAGAGACAGAGACACACAGAGAGACACGGCTACGCAGAGGCAGAGACAGAGACACTGAGGGCTCTGCAGCACAGCAGAGCATTAAGCCCCATTCTCCCCTCCCCCGCACCGACAGTGGGGGAGGGGGGGGGGTCCTTTTTAAAAACCCCCCCCCCCCCCCCTCCCCAACAGGCCCCGGGGCGGATTCCGATGCGGTGACCTGTGAAGTGGGAGCAGACGGGGAGGGTGGGGCGGCTCAGGGAGCCAGACAGAGAGAGAGCAATAGGAATGACAGACCAGTCAGTGAGAGTGAGAGAGCTCACACACACACACACACAAATCACTGCACTCTCATCTCCATCACAATACAATGCAACTGCAAATGTGCACGGCCACCTCCCAGAGAGAGAGAGAGAGAGAGACGGCCTGAGTCTAACCCAGCTCTGTCCATGCATAATGTCAAAGGAAATGTTTCCGCCCCGGGAGAACCGGATCCGCTAGCAATTAAAATACACTGTACTTTGTTTGTTCGATCCCACAACATTGAGACCGGAAGATTGCAAAAGGCTCGGGGTTTTGTTTTTGTTTTCCGGATCTGATCAGAGACTTACACTGAGGTGGGCTGGAGGCGTGCTGCTCGTTTTCCATGGCCGGTCGGCTACAGGAGTCTTCACACAGTCCCACTCGGAGCCTGGGTCATTGCTGCCTTTTGTTTTAAAATCCCCGGAGAGAAGGTGATTCCGATCGATCGGACGCTAAACTCGACCGTGGAGGGGGGTAGAAGTCCCGACCTCTCGCTCAATCTCCACTCTCCCTCCAACAACAGCCAAATAAAAGTGTGGGATGTCAGGAGATTTTGCAACTGAACTCTCTCCTCCCCCTCTCTGTCTGTAATGGTTGCAGGGACTGCATCAGCCTCGATCCATCTGCAGTAGCCACCAGAAAGGAAAAGGGAAAAAAAACTTGGCCAGTGCACTAGATAATGAATCTCTTCCACCCCCCTCCCCCCAACACGCCTTCGCTTTTTTTTAAACAGAGCTAGGACTGAACCAGTTAGACAGTGGCTACACCACAGGACAATTTATCAATCACTCTCTGCATTTGTGTTAACTCTCTCCCACCCCCTCTCTGGCCATCTGCATGCCGCAGCTCTGCCCCTAGGAGGGGGTACTGAGGGGCATTTCTCTAACCCCCAACCATATCTACTGGGACTGACCCAGCCCCTCTTCCCTACCCCTGGTTTATTGGGTCATTCTGTGCCTAGTCTCACATTTCAGGGGGTGGGGGTGGGTGTGAATTTCTTTACGACTCTGGGTGGAAGGGTTTCCGTTTCGCAGCCGACAGCTACACATTCAAGCCAGGGACCTCCTAGTGCCTCAAATGTATGTAAATATAGGATTGTATTTTAGAGTCAAACTCCAATGTTTTGATTATTTCCTTGATATGCAACTGTACAGAACGGCGTCTGTGACTATGTATGCATACTTTGTTTTTAAATTAATAAAGGATCCTCGCCCTGGGTACAAACACACACATACACACACACACAGCGAATGGTCAAGCCGGGCTGCTATTCAGATATTAAAGCTGATAAGAACAGAGACTGCCTTTCTCTCTCTCTCTCTCGCTGGCCGCTTGCATTGCTCATTCCGAAACCACTCAATCCCGATCCATCGGCAGTTCCAGCCCCCTACCCTGAGCTTTCACACCGCCCCATGTTCACCCATCCCTGGCTCAGCCCAGCACCCACATTTCTGCACTGACACAAAGCTGTGGCAAATAAAACCAAACCAAAAAAGGAATGCTGTCTGAGGCAGTGAGACCCACCAGATGCACCAGAAATGCCGTTTATTGCTAAGGCTTCCGCACCAACTAGTTTTAACAATAGTTGGAATTAATTAGATAAACGAAATATCAAATTCACTGGCATTTATTGGTTAGATTTGTGGAGGTGTGATAGAGTGTCCACTCGCTAGAATTGCCCCAACCACCTTAAAAGCCAGGAAAGACTGCCAGTGTATGTGAAATACCGAGCCCAATTACAGTCGTAGAGTTATACAGCACAGAAACAGGCTCTTTAGTCCCACTTGTCCGCACCAACCAGACATCCCAATCTGACCTAGTCCCATTTACCAGCATTTGGCCCATATTCCTCTAAACCCTTCCTATTCATATACCATCCAGATGCCTTTTAAATGTTGGAATTTTACCAGCCTCCACCACTTCCTCTGGCAGCTCATTCCATACACGCACCGCCCTCTGCATGAAAACGTTACCCCTCAGGTCCCTTTTAAATTTTTCCCCTCTCACCTTAAACTTACTCCCTCTAGTTTTGGACTCCCTCACCCTAGGAAAATGAACCTTGGCTATTCACCCTATCCATGCCCCTCATGGCTATATAAACCTCTGTAAGATCACCTCTCAGCCTCCTACACTCCAAGGAATAAAATTCCCAGCCTATTCAGCCTCTCCCTATAGGTCAAACCTTCCAGTCCCAGCAACATCCTTGTAAATATTTCCTGCATCCTCACAAGTTTAACAACATCCTTCCTATAGGATGGATTGTACATATAATCTGGTGTAGTGTGATTTCTGACCTTGTCCACCCAAGTCCAACACCGGCACCTTCACATCATGACGAAAGACTTGTAGACAGTGTTCTAAAAGTGGCCTCACCAATGTCCTGTACAGCCACAACGTTACATCCTAACTCCTATAGTCAATGTTCCAACCAATGAAGGCAAGTGTGCCAAATGCCTTCTTCACTGCCCTGCCTACCTGCGACCCCACTTTCAAGGAACTATGCACTTCCACCGCTAGGTCTCTTCTGTTCAGCAACACTCCCCAGAGCCCTACCATTAACTGTATAAGTCCTGCCCTGGATTGCCTTACCAAAATGCAACACCTCACATTTATCTAAATTAAATTCCATCCGCCACTCCTCAGCCCATTGGCCCATCTGATCGCGGTCCCATTGTACTCTAAGACAACCTTCTTCACTTATTCCACCTATTTTGGTGTCGTCTGCAAATTTACTAACTATTTGCAAATTAATTACATCTTTGTTGAAGAATTTGAGTAAAACAACACCACCCTCAATGTTAGACAAAATCCCATTCATGAGAGAAAATGCTTATCATAACTAATAATGTGACAGCGCACTCTTTAAGCTGATAAACAAATCTTTCATCCAATTGTGTATAACCAGGTACATTATCCAAGAGTTCGCATATCGTACCCTGAGATAATCCTCTTCGCTGTCCACTACATCACCTAGTCTGGTGTTATCTGCAAACTTACTAACCATGCCTTCTATAGTCACATCCAAATCATTTACATAAATTATAAAGGTCATGTTGACCATTCCTCATCAATCTTTGCCTTTCCAAATGTATGTAAATCTTGTCCCTCAGAATCCCCTCCAACAACTTACCCACCACAAATTAAGGCTCACCAGTATATAATTCTCTGACTTTTTCTTGCTGCCTTTCTTAAATAGCAGCACCACATTAACCATCCTCCTGTCTTCTGGCACTTCACCTGTGGCTGTCAATGATATAAATATCACAGCAAGGGGCCCAGCAATCACTTCCCTAGCTTCCCACCGAGTTCTGGGAAACACCTGATAAACTCCCAGGGATTTATCTACCTTTATGCATTTTAACAGCTCCAGCACCTCCTCCTCTATAGTATGAGCTCTTTTCAAAACATCGCTATTTATTTCCCCAAGTTCCCTAGCTTGCATGTCCTTCTCCACTGTACATACTAATGCTAAATATTCCTTTAGTATCTCACCCATCTCCTGTAGCTCCGTACGTAGACGGCTTTGCTGATCTTTAAGGACCCGATTCACTTCCTAGTTACCCTTTTGCCCTCAATGTACTTACAGAATATATTTGGATTCTCCTTAACTCTATTTGCCAAAGCTATCCTATGTGCCCTTTTTTGCCTTCCTAATTTCCCTCCTAAATATACTCCTACTGTCCTTACACTCCTCTAGGGATTCATTAGATCCCAACTGTCTATACCCAACATATTTCTCCATTTTTTTTACCAGAGGCCAAATTTGTCTCATCACCCAACACCTACCATACTTGCTCTTCACAGTTCTGTCAATCTACATCAAATTAATAAGACACAGCAACACAATCAGTATGATACAAAGTAAGACAATTTCCCATATCAGTGTGATACACAGTGAGACACAGTGTCCTATGTCAGTGTGATACACAGTGAGATACAGTGTCCTGTGTCAGTGTGATACACAGTGAGATACGGTGTCCTGTGTCAGTGTG